ATTTAGACAAGCTTCATCACAGTGATCGAAACATAGGCAAGCATAGTGGTTGAATGACGATTATTTGTATATGGCTGAGCCTAGCCGGATAAGGTGTCTTCGACCTTGAAGCCATTACGAAGAAAAGTAGTGCAATGGATCATAGGCAATGGATACACCGGTGGAGCTTTTCTGTTGTCGTTATAGCAAGTCGCTACGTCCTTCGAATCCAACGTATTCTTCGGCTAGACTACAGGTGATGCAGATGGAGCTGAAACTCAACTATGCACAGATAGTTCAAGTGAAATCCGAACAATAGGCCTCGTGAGCAAAAGCCTGGATGACCTAGCAACAAAGCTTCGGGATTTATAGGTACATCTAGTAGTCACGTAGAATGATTGCGACGATGCGCATTAAGCTTGAGTAATTGTCGTGTTTTCACCACAGCCCTCCATTCTAGTTCAGATCGCAAAACGACGCCGGTGATGATAGATGTGGTTTGACTCGCCGTAAATCGGAGTTTTCAAGGCGAATTGGTGCGGTGTGTGCATAGTACAGCGCTTTTGATGTAACACAGCATCCCAGACCGAGTATATGCTCATTTGGACTCTTCGAGTAAAAACGGGAGTGGATGGAATCAGGGATATCACGGGTGTTGCGCACAGAGCTGAGTAGCCCACTGTGGGTGACACCAATCGCTGACCGTAACGTGTGAAACTCCACTTCCAACTCCGGCTGTCTCTACCGAACAAGTCCAAATGTGAGTGAGATCGGTCATGAAGTGCAGTGTTGGGCGCAAGCGGCACTAAAAGCTCTCCACTTCAGATGCCGACCTCAGTGGCTGGTATAACCAAGGCTTAACCCAAGACGAATTGTCGTCCAGACTGAATTTGCATACCGCAATCCAAATATATGGTGGGTGCTCGCGAACTCAGTAAAGAACTCACAGTGAGCCTACTAACTATAATCATATCATAAGTCAAATGCGCTTGACTGCATTCACCACAAAGTTCCCGGCGACCAGTGTTGCTCGCAGTCAATGTGATCACCCTGATTCGATCCATGAATAGTGTGCACAGATAGGAAACCTGGTTGCATTAAGGTCTACGGGAAATTTGATCAAGTGCCCCCGTCACACCATGAGTTTGCACATAACGATTGGAGTTGAGTTTCGACAACTGCCCAATTGACTGTTGACTGTTTTGACTCGGTGCTACCGTTTGCACTGTATCCCTCGCTTTGGATGCGGGTGCGGTGCATCTATCCGATACATTCGGCTCAAATCAAGTGCATCAATACAACGCGACTAAGTAATGGTTGAGAGTGCAGGGGTCAGCCGCATGCCTGACTCAGCATAATGCGTGTTCGTAGTTTGGCAGCCAGCAAGCCGCTTTGTAGTGCGGGCTGGCCGAATACGAATACGGTGGAAAGCATAGGCGACATGCAGGAAATAAAGTGGATAGTACGCCACGAGAGGTTAAAACACTTTCAATAACCGGTTTAATTTAAGGAGATGCAGCAGTAATAATACCAGTAAGGGATAGATTGGCTGCAGCGTACAGTTTAGTTACTACGGGACACAGGCATTAATGGAGGCATGTTGTTAGAACCGGAAGAAGCAAAGGTGCCGCTAAGGCGTCCGCATGCCGACTTTGGGATAAAGCGATGATACACTTATACACCAGATCAGCTCTGTACCAGGCTTAAAACACCTGGGGTGTGTAAAGTTTAGTTAATTCGTTAAGCATGAGTTCAAGACGGAGGTGCGATGGAAGAGGCTGTCATAAGATGCCATAAGGGCAGGAATAAGTAGTAATTTGGCGAGAAAGATAACAAATAAAGTGAACGCAACCAGAGAGAAGAAAAAGCAGGGGATAAAAAGTAAGAAAGCAGAGTCGTTGGCTGAAACAACTAAAAAAGGCAAGTAAACTGGCGAAAGGGTATCATACACATAGCGGCTCAACGATAAGAAGGAATCGACAATCAATGGTGTAGCCGATGAAGCGAAACCAATCCAGGAAGTTGGATGAAGCTATCAGTTTGGTGATGCTATTCCTTGAGCATAGTCACATCCCAAATGATCAAATTTGGTACGGATAAGCAATACAAACCAAACACAAAAAACTTTTATATTCGATGACGCGAGACAAGCCTGTATCGGCATGACTGGGTAAGTGCATATTTGTACAGAACGTTGACCATAGTTGGATTATGAAAAGTAAGTATCAGATCAGGTAATGTTGTTTGGAAGGACAGCAAAGGTATAGTAAATGGTTGACTGAAATGAAATGAGGTTGTGTGGCCATTAACCGCTCTTGCACATACCTTATAATAAAACAGCTAACTCATAGAAAATAGTATGGTGGCGAAACATGTACTGGGTCGTATGAAACCTGGTCCCTGCTCGTACGCTTGGCTTGTTGTGATATAAAATGCACAGTTTGATTACGTTCTGTACAGTCAAGAACTTGCTGGTATTTCTGCGGAAATCGTGTTCAAGAGTGCAGGCACGTAGCTCAGGTAGTAGCTTGCACCAGACTCTAGCGTACCTGTTGAGGAGAATGTCCGCAAACCTACTGGTCCTAGCCTTGCATCGCGCCACTAAGTTCGGTTCAATGCAAAAAATGGTTGAAAACTATGACTACGTTGTGCTTCATGCGCCATAGCCCGAACGCATCAGACCTCAGCTTAGCATATTGTTCAGAATATTCCAGTTTTAAGGAAGCAGCTAAAAAGCGTTTCGTGAACGCTCTAGATACTCCATCCAATGCTGGGTGGTCAAGGTTTTTTGAGATGCTATGCACCAGTGAATAATAATCCAACGTTTGTTGATTGTACTGACTCGTGTAGAGAAAAGGTCCTAAATATCAATATTATATTCTGTCTTGCCAACGCGGTAACAAGGCCAACTTGTTCACAAAAGTCATTTGAGCATGATTATCGCAGTCCTATACTCGTACTGTAACACAGATATTAGGCAGTTCGCAGTTAAGTGTCAGGCGACTATCAAATGCACGAAGGAAATGGTTTAGCTACAATTAGCGCCTCCAATTTATAAAATAATCAAATGCATCGCCAAATTGTCGTATCTCCGACATCACCCACCGGAACCCAGCACGACTCGCTCGGTGGTCCTGCCAGGTAGGGGAAACTTATGTCGATGCAGGAGGTCAATAAGCACTAGTCTCGTATCATCCTCAGCGCACTGTCACCATGCATATGATTACCCAACAACACCAGTTGCACTATAACACTTAATAGGTGAGTTATGGATATACTGCCTAAACAGTATGCGAAGACCTGTTCACCCATTCGAATCAATGAGCCCATTGAGAGCTGCTACTACCAGAGCGGTCAATGTCTAGACGTTGGATGACGTCAATCTCCTGGCTCTCCAGGTTGGTGGTTAGAAATGACGCGGAGCCTATTTCTACATCAACAGATAGCTGCTTTATTCCTGCTTCCACGTGGCCAAGCATTTGAGCCAAAGAGTTCGGCTAAGCCCTCCAATCGCTATCTTTCCCAGCCCAAGTACAGTTATGAGTACCTCATCAAACATAAACCACAATCTACATCGACCTCCAAGTAGTCTCAAAGAGTATCCTTATATTCTGTGGATAAGCGAAAAATATGTTAATGTTAATGCCTATCTTCCGTACGTTACACTTGTTCCTCGTATGCTCTTCACGACCCTTGTTAATAGCCTTCCTACTGTAATCCACAGCTTAATTGACAGCAGTTGCAGTAGAATTGGAGTCCTACCATCTGCAACTACATTCCGGTAGCACAATTCGGACTGTGATGTCATAAACAGTTCTTTACAAGGCTACGCCGCTCTGTTCCTCTGGTGGCGTTTACTGTTCGTATCTTGAGACAGCTAAGTCTGAGGTTTGCAACTGAATGTACATTGAACACCCACAGAGCTGATATGTGCCACGTGTCCGAAGTTGTATCAATGACAACCACGCGGTTATTGGGCGAACTGAACCCGACATGTCCTCATGGGACATGATGCTGCAAGCTAGAGTAGGCACTTTCCTCAACTTCAGGGTTGTGTCATCGGTAGTTGACTGGATTTATGTGAGCAGTCGCCTGAGAACGTAAATTAACAGCGGCAGATACTGTCCTGCTGTTATTGCCGCTTATTTCTCCATCGACCGCATTCCTATTACTGCCAAGGACGCCTTCTGCCATGAGCATAACACGCTGCTTCGCGTTATTGCAAGGTCGTAGACAGCCCAAGTTGCAAGCAATGTGAATATACGAGTGGTTTATCTCAGCTGCTCAAAAGCTCAGCTAGGTGGGGCGATTGGGTTAGCATCCGAACACACTGAGTGTTTACTGTCACAGTGCACCAAGAATCGGCTGCTTCCAAGCAGAACGGCCTTCAGATACAATGGCGAGTTTCTGGGCATGGTTTTTGTAAAAGTACATTCAACTCCGGACGTCGTGGAGACACTTCGTCAGTTTATTCGACCTGTGGCTGATTAACGGGTAGTTCGAATCGTAAAAATCCTACTGCTTAACTGCAAAACAGGTAGTGGTGTAGTTGATATAAGTGCTATCCGAAATCGCACAATGGGCTTAGTAAGAAAAGTAATTTGGATAAGCGGAAGCTGCCAACATGCTGAGCGCAGCCGTGCTAGTCAGCCGTACACCATACGCGACAGGTCCGGCTGAACATGCACCCAGTCCAAGCCCAAAATATGAACGACTAAGTGCACCGATCGACCGAACGGAGTTGAGCATAACGACAGAATGGTGAGGAGCATAGCTTCATACGCATAAATACTCTATGTGCTAGCAACAGACGGTGTAAATCCAGTCCAGCGAGTGAACCGCATCCTGCAGATGGCGATCTACTACCTTTTGAATTGTGGCATGAATGATTCATTTCATTGCAAAGTAACAATTAGCCAGGCTAGTTAGTAGGTGTAAGAGTAGCAGTTAAATCGTGTCCGGTGAATTTTGCGAGTAAGTTTTCGAAGTACAAGTAAACATAGTCACATCGTTACGCCTACCTAATAGATCACTCTGGCCGATCAATCTGACCACATTTGGGTGAATTCCGGCCAGTTTCATTACAGCCAGTTCAGCTTTTAGGAGGCTGATTTGATTTGTTGTTTTCCGGGACAAGTTGTACCCAAACGTCGTAGCAGGTTGAGCGATAGACGGTCTGTTGCCTATCAGTGGATAGTTGCTGGTCTTACCCATCCCATGATCTGTGCAGCGCAATGACGATAGAGGAGTTCTGGACCGCTGTTCACAGGAGGCTAGTTCGGCATAATGGCACGCGTCATTTTTGCAGCATGAATGCAGTGTTTGGGCATGATCAACCTCAGTGGTGAGATGCCCAATGCAGCCGTCACTAATGGTGTTGTGTTCACCTGCGAGTTGCATAGGGAAAGGAAAAGAGAAGAAAGAGGGAAGGGGGTCATCATAAACACAAGATGCAGCGGATCTGCCGGCACAGCATGTAGAGAGGTTCAAAAAAGTACGCGAATTCGGGCCACCGTTTCTGTGTCCTACAATCAGTCCACTAGGGTGGTCCGTCAGTCCTGGGTCGAGTTTGCATGACTGACTGAATGGCATACCAGAATGTATAAAGGTGCAATATCTCATCAATAAAGTCCCTTACCAATCGCATTGCGAGATGTGTGGTCTTCGAAACACGAACGGCCTATGTATCCAAGCTCGCAACAATGATCATGTAACTGGGACCGATCCAGTGATGAAGGTCGAGAGTATAAAATGCTCTATAAACGGCACAGGTACTTCACAAGCACATTCATTAACCACTAACCTCTCCATATCCACTATATAGGATAGTCCAGCGTGACTAATTTGGTCCCATGTGATCCATCAGGCAACTGTCTAGAGGGCATACTCCAGGGTTTTTAAATACTAGATTTAGGAAAGAGACTGGTGAAGTTTTGAATGAGGACATGACGTCAATCATTTCACACATTGCGTACCGCATAGAGCTGACTAGGAGTGCAGCGTCAAAAGAAAAGTGACGCCACAAAAACCCACTTTCAGAATGAAATATTTGTTTGATAGCCACCCACATAAACGGCTGGCTGGTAGAATCACTCGAGCGATCCGTCACACGACCGATATGTTGTTGAAGAACACAGCACACAGTTCCGGTGCCTTCGGGAGGCAGTAGTAGTTTGGCTTGCATAACTCGACCGAAACCACCACGACCGAGTAGGTGAGTGACTTTAATCCTAGGTTAAATGAGAAAAGGAACGCAGTTAAATGGTTTGTAGTAAGACGAGGGTAGAGAAGGATTAAATCAGTTTCATTCATTTCCAACTTTTTCAATTCAAGTAAGTGCATTATGCAACCATAAGGGTGAATATTCAGTTGTTACACACAGGCTATCAGTATAGTAAAAGAAATAAAGCAGTAACGACACAAGTAGAGTAATAAGTGGCATAAACAGCAGTATGGTTTTAATACAAAGTTGTTTTTAAGCTCCAGGACTACTGATGTCTGGTCGCACAAAAAATCATGCCAGATATGCAATAACGGATGAGTGATAATCACTTATGCAGGCCAAAATGGATCCATACTTTTTTCTGGTTGCGGATGTTGATACACACTCAGACAGTGCGCTATGAAGAGATTGACTTGTATCAGTAACTATTCTCGTACCAAGCCTTATGTATAAATTGGTGTAAGTGGACACAATAATCTCAACAGTGGTCGGATTGAGAATTCCACTACACCGAGATAATTGCGTCAGTGATCTGTCTAGGATTTTGAAGTGCTTCTTTAAAAAACCAGGAAATATCAGTGGAGCAACACGTCCAAAGGAGTAAGACCCATGCGATGATAAATCTCAGTATTAAGTGACGGGGGATAGATGAGAATCGCAAACGAAGAACGTAGTACGAAAGCCTCCTTACCTTTGCAAAACATTATTAACATGAAGTGACCAGGAAAGATCACGACTGAGTGTTACTCCTAGGTACTTCACTGACAATCTGGAGTGCGAATTCTCGCCATCTATGTGAACTTCGGGGCATTCCATGAGAAGTTGCTGATAACCATGGCCTTGATGTAGGGAGAAAATGACGTTATTGCATTTTGATGCATTCAACGATAAAAAGTGAGATTTGAACCATAATACAAGGCTGTCCAAATAGGCTTGTAATTTAGTTGATGAGGCTGCGGTCGATTGTCGCATAGCCAAGACTACGTCGTCTGTATATTTCAACAATACCGCATCGACAGGGGCAGGTAAAGAGGCGATGTAGGTCGAAAAAAGGTATGAAGATAGTATGACCCCTTGAAGAATGCCAGCGTCTGTGGTGAGCGGCGAAGAAGTTTTACCTCCAAGTCGAGTAAACTGGGCGAGTCCAGTGAAGTAGCCTCTCAAAAGTTGGACAGTAGACAGTTGAACTTTGGCATCGTGCATGTCTGTCAAAAAAGCGCACGGTTTACACAGCTGAATGCATTACTGTAATCGAGAAAACACATGCATACGGATTAGACCTTGTTGTCTAGTGCGTCTCGGATACAGCAGATTTGCATGGAACTAATTCGGTCCCGGTAGCAATCGCCAATCTATTCCCGCAAAACATTGTGCGCGAAGTACGAGCACAAAAACGTTTAGTAGCTATGCACTGGGGACATGGAGTTCAAACAGAATTAACACCCATTAAACCTGGTTTGCCTGCAAAGCATGACCTAGCATCATCATCCAAAGATACCTACGATTCATTTGAATTATCAGTGGTCTCAGAAGGTCAAGGCAAAGTAGTCATATAGGGGTCGCGGAAAACATTCCCTCTCAGTGTCCCGGAATGTGATCGAAGATGTCATGTTGCGAGATTTAGAAGAGCTACGGACTTTTGGCATAGAACTCCTTCAAGACAACTTCACTTTAAATTGGACGTTTTGCAAACCACTTTGGACGCTGGATTTTCGTCTCGTAAGCGTTTTCCCTAAAAAGGCCATAAATGTCTGTTTAACAACAGTGCGACGTGGCGTATGTGACTCGTCATTCAATAAAGTCACCGCCCTCTACCACGCATTGGCAAGTTGACCGATGCCATATTTCACAAGTTCTGTGCATATATGTGCTTTCAAGCATCTACACGTACACGTTCAAACAGTCACATGTCACCATTCTTAAAAGGTCTTTACAGATGGACTTTCATGCTTCACTCGCCTAATGTGAACTGTGAAAATAACATCAACGAACCAGTTCCGCACCAACATATACTCCACTCCAAAGATCTCTGTAACATATTTACAGCTCGTTCAGTGCGAATCAGTTCGCCTGTGTATTTCTGAGTATGTCTCTCGAGGTGTCTCGATATGCTCAAGGATAAACATCATTCATCCTTTGGGCCATATGGGACCACATAACTGACTACATCTGTAATACACCTGCTTTTGGACCTGCTCAATATGCTGTTATGTACACCATTAGGTTACTCCGATCATGTCCAAAAGGTGTGCCTCGGTTTGCGGAGAATAACTATTAGTCTGTTTATTTTGTAAAACACATAGGACGTTTCGCAAAACAAATGGGACGTTGTGCAAACCGCTTTGGACACAGTGCATTTTGAGTAAAAAAACAGCAACTCGCTAGAAAGAAAAAAGGAGTAAGGCAGTCGCCTATGATTAGACTACAGTTTAGTCATGCTAATGCAACTGAATTGTCTTAGCAGAGCTGCCACTACAAACCCTTATCTTGTTCGTAAACCTAGATCACTCCGATCAAAGGCAGTGACTAAGTATCGCCCTTTTTCCTCATTGGTCTTCGCGTAGTTTATATGCCTCTGATTTAACAAATGAAAATATGTAGCTATGTGACCAATGGAAAGTCAGACCCGCATAGTTTATTATGTCTTAAACAACTTTGACTTAGCATTAGAGGATCAATGTGAAGCACGCGTTTTGCGAATGGAATGCGATGCGCAATCTCAATGTGGATCGTAATCCCCACCGAAGTAAACCTTGGACAATTCGATCACTTGGACTGTAACTGATAAAGCAGACAGGCGGCGACCCAGTAGTCCCCTGTCGCTCTACGGACCTTCGCGTCTTTACAGCTGGTGTCTGAGCGAACGTAATCAGCTGCTGGATTATTGGTTTGGTGCAGGCCATCATGACTCCACCAAAAACAGTCGAGCTTTATTAGCCTACTGCTGCATATATATATATATATATATATATATATATATATATATATATATATATGCCTCATGCTGAGGCTGATATTGCATTCTTGATGCTTCTTCACCGCAGTTGGGCTAAGCCAGCTTACACTTAAACTAAGAATTTTTAAGCTGGACAAATTTCATTCAACTTTATTTGGTTTGTTCTGCCTACTTGATTTATCTTCTATTAACTGACCACGTTGCTTATGCTGATTGTGCTTATCTTCGGTAACTTGGTTACGTTTGTAGCACTTTTAAGTAACTTGGGGACATTTTTACTTATCGCAGATTCATTGTTAACCAACTGACTTCATATGCTAATGTAGCGAAGAGTTATGCCACCACATCTGTATGCATTATTCGATTTATTTTATTTCATCTTGTCGTTTCAAGTGATTGGCTGTTGCTTGATATCCCAGGTGTGGCTGCGCTTGATGTGCATGTTGACAACGTGCCTACCCGTCTATCACCCACTACCTCGTCCATACTGGCTCCAGGAGACAGTTGGTCGTTGCTGCAGGGGACAGCGTGCACGGTTCTTGTGGCCGTGCTAGGCTCGAAGAGCGGTTCCATGCACTCAGTGTGAATCGGACTACGGTCCAGCCGCCGCCTTGTGTGCGCTTGATTCCCCAAATACAGTGTGCTTGTGTTTGCCTATGAAGGAGTATGGGCCGGCTCCGTTGATGAAATGTGGCTCCCATCCACAAGCTTCCCGGCCTTATTCCTTCGGGTTTACACTAGATATGGGGTGTGTGGTTGGAGCTGTGGGTGGTGCAGCGCACGCCACCCATGGTTCCTCTGCAGGCGCAGGCGTCCTGTGGCTGGCCACAGTGACAGGCAAATCCAAAACCGGATGACGCCAACCACACACACACACGCATATATATATATATATATATATATATATATATATATATATATATTGTCGCTTGTTCTGGAAACCTACATTACTCTGTCTCCTTCAGTGAATGAGACTCCAAAATCCACAAGTCCCCTGCCAGTGCATTAATAATTTCGGTGACGAAACCACCAGAGATGAAATTGCTACCTAGCTTAACAAGCCGATTGCTTACCAACAGAGGCGTCTGATTGTTGAAGGTGAGAACTGGGGACGTTTCGTATATTTTCCGTGACAGCATTTCAAAATTTGAAAATGCAGTCATACGTCAGACTGCGTGGCGGTATGCCTCAGTTTGTCCGGCGTCTGTAAAGTAACCGAATCCATCCTGAGAAAAACTGTACAACCCGGTTATTCTACGTGTGACAATCGGTCGTGTACCATAAAAAGTGTAAGAAAGTAAAAAAAGTAAAAAGTGTAAGAAAATAAGAAATAGTCCTTCATGATGTTTTCATCGTGAACAAAAGTAGCAATTTGGGGTATTACGTGGTAAACCCAGAGAACAGAGTCCCTTTGATTTACGAAAGCTGTGGGATAGAGATACTGCAACAGAAGAATGGTTCTCGGTCAAACCCTTCTGGGAAAGACATCACTACATCGGATGCGATCAGATGGATTAAAGGTAATCTTCAAATCATGAAATGCCACTATGATAAGTTATCAGTAAATATGACGAAGATCAACCCGCCAGGAAAAAAACCGATCGGACTTTGCATAAACTTTAACGGCGATCAGCATGCTAATCGGCCAGGAGGTAATGGGAATGAATTGAAGACATCGAAGAGGGGACTGGCATCCCGATAAGGTTCTCACGGCTTCTATTTGCCCTATAAAAGAGTGGAAATGACGGATGACAACCACTAGTCAGAGGACAACTTCTCGTTGTGCCAAAAATATCGGACTGGGTGGGAAGATCAATATCCATGGAATCGCCACTGCCATTCACCAACAATTAAAAGGGTCAGTTGAGACTAAGTGAATTAGTCCATCTCAGTAGCATCAGTTCGTGTCTTGACTTTACTATTCCAGGTAGGTCCAAGTAACTGAGAGGAAGTAACTCTAACCCCCTAGGCTGGCAGAATTGTCTTTCAAAGTGTTCGGCACAACGTTCAAGCCGATGTGATTCAACTTTAACCAGATTTTCGTCTGTCTC